CATTCCAATTTGGAAAAGCAGGCCTTTTCAAAAATATGCAATAACCCCCGAAAACACCCTACATCTTTAAGAACAGCCCACTGAACATAGAAGAATCAGAATTCTGGACGTTTCTGTGGATTAGTGGAGAAAAGAGAGAAAACAGGGAACTTCGGAAATAGGATTCCTAAAATATGAATGGAAGAATCGGAAATTTCTGAAACTTACGATGGAGAAAAGGTAGATTCGATTTTTGGATTTTGCTGATGACGATGAACAGCACCCTGAAGATGATGATGATGAGGGTGATGGTGACGACCAACTCACCTGCTGATGGGAGAGGCAAACAATGCCTTGAAGAGCAACCTCTAATGGTAACAACCTGATGATAATGATGAGAATGAAGACAAAATGATGATGCTGATCATACTAAAGAGCAGCACCAACAGCCCCTATGATTTCAAACTGATGATGGTGATGATGATGATGATAATGATGAAGATGATGATGATGGTGCTGTCGGTAATGATGATGATGATGACGCACAATGCCCTGTGATGTCTACCGGATGATGATGGTGCTGATGACGAGCACCTTGGATGATAACCTAATGATGATGATGATGATGATGATGATGATAATGATGATGATGATAATGATGATGATGATGATGATAGGGATGAGAAGCGCCCTATGATGACGAGCTTTGCCAACCGCGCCATATGATGGTGAAATATTGATGATGGTAATACAACGATGAGTGACGAGCAGCACCCTTGATGAACGACTCCTTGATAATGATGATGATACTAGTGCCGAACAGGTGACGAGCAGTACCCAATGATGATGATGCTGATGACGAGCAGCACCCTGATGATGATGACAAACCATTACCGTGATGATGATGTCGAACCACGCCCTGCTGCTGCTGATGGTGATGAGCAGCACCCTAATGATGATGACAAACCATTACTGTGATGATGGTGTCAAACCGCGGCTTGTTGATGATGGTGCTGGTGGTGATCAACGCCTCGTTGCTGATGACGAGCGCCCTGATTATGCTACACATCTACCTCCTCATGACTGCAGAGGCCACTGCACTCGCACTTCAGTTTACCAAGGGCTGACTCCATTGTACTCCACAGGCATTGCCAACGCCTCTCAGGCCATATGCCACGTGCAAAAACGCAGCGGCAATGGAATGAAACGTGGAACTCCCAGAAGAAGAAAAACGGGAGTCAGTTTGACCGCCATATCAGCTTGTGATGTGGCTTGGACAAGCGCCTTTACAGAAGAGATGGCCACCGTCATCGCCGCGCGCCGTCACCATGGCCCACCTGCCACAACCTGGGGCGGAGCGCAGCGCTCCCAGTAGCGCCGCACCCCGCCACGCCCTCGCCGTCTCGCGCTAGCGCTGCGCTACCGCAGGGCTAACGCGTTGCAGACCCTTTAGGAGTTTCTCTACAGTGACACCATCATTAAAAAAACTAATTAGGCAATGTGGAAGAAGTTAGGAATACTACTTGCATATCCTTACGCAAAAGACTATGTACACAATGTTTTGGAGAATGATGGGTTGGTGTACAAAGGTAACTAATTGAACTAGATCAGTAGACAAGCAAGACAAGGAGTGTTGGGTTTATGAGAGATATAAGGGCAGTTTTTGGGGGATACAAGGCTTATAAAGCTTGAGGAAGACTAGTGTGCCTGGCAAGTGGCCGAGTGACAATTGGAACAACCCCTCCCGTTGTGCCCTGCCCTCCTTGGGGCTACCCTGCTGAGGGCATGGGTGCTGCTAGCAAGCCTCCGGACCTGCAAGGTAATCCCTGAGGTGGAGCTATGGGCTGGGGCTGGGGCTGGGGCTGGGGCTGGGACGGTCAGTAGCACCCCACGCTTGCTTACGCGGCTCGTGCCACAAGGGTATGACTGTTCCTTTCTCTTCTCTTGTCTTTTCTCCCTCATTCCTTGTAAAACATGTGTGTCGGTGATAAGCAACCGGACTGATGCCCCCCAACATAGAAGGGGCTGGGTGCTTCTGAAAAAAAAAAAGAAAAAAAGAAAGGAAGTGGCAACAAGATTGGCAGTGGGAGGAGGCTATCAAATGGGGAAGGCGAAGCAAGGAGTCACAGATAGTGGTAGGGGAACGAATGTCGATAATTTTTTTTGCCATGGCCGGTGCATGCAAGGTTGCGTCGTTGATGACAGCCATGGACCACCCCTTCGATGAGGATCAGCCAAGACAACAATTGGCGGTGATAAGCAACAGGACTGATGCCCCCCAGCATAGAAGGGGCTGGGTGTTTTGGGAAAAAAGAAAAAGGGAAGTGGTAACAAGATTGGAGGCTATCAAATGGGGAAGGCGAACCAAGGAGGCGCAGATGGTGGTAGGGGAACGAATGTCGGTAATTTTTTTTGCCATGGCCGGTGCATGACAGCCATGGACCCACCCCTTTGATGAGAATCAGCCAAGGCAACGCACCTAAAGGGGGATCTTGAAATGTGTCACCAATGTTTATCACGGCCTGTTAACGGAAGAGGAGCAATGGGCGCTAGTGGACATGGCGAAGCATCCGGAAGAGAGTGTGGAGACATGTCCAAAGTCAGTTGGACCTGGAGAGTACTTGCAGGCTAGAGGAGGATATTAGGGAGGATGAAGAGGAGGCAGCGATTGCAGACCTGCCCAGGCTTAAGGCGCCTGTGCTGGACGGCATGCCGGTCGAATTATGTAAGGATTTTCGCAAGTTCTTTGTGATTTTGCTGATGACGGCTTATAATAAAGTACTTGAATGCGGATCCTTCCCACGAGGCTTCACAAATGTGTATGTAGTGTTGCTCTATAAAAAAGGGGCGAAGGAAGACATGCAAAACTGGTGGCCGATATCCATCCTTAAACCACCAGTACTTGGGCACTGCGCGCCGCCGCACTGCGTGCCGGAGGTCAAAGTGACACGGGCTGTGGATTCGATTTATCCACGGCCCGCCGGCCGCGAAATTTTTGTAGCGTTAATGCTAAGGCCGACCCCAAGTACTGGTGCGCTGTACAAAATCTTGGCTAAGCTAGTGGCAACCCACTTGAAGGACATATTATTATTAATCCTGCCCAAACATGTTTTGTATCTGGCAATCAGATCCTGACTAATGTGCGTCTGGCACAACAGATTCTGGAGCAGGAGCAGTGTACGGGGAGCGCCGTGGCCTTCGTTTCTATTGACTTGGAGAAAGCATACGATAGGGTCCGCTGGGAGTTCCTCCTGCAAGGGATGACGCACAGGGGGATAGGAGGCTTCTTTTGCGAATGGGTGAGAAGCATTCTAAAGGGGCCAACAACGGTGATACAAGTCAAGGGGGTGAGGTCGGACAAGTCGAACGCTACCAAGTCAGTTAGACAAGGATGTCCGCTTTCCTCGGCTCTGTACGTCATCTATATTGAGTCCATGCACAATATATCAAGTGTGGATGACCGACTGATCGCCTTGAAGGCAGGCCTTGTAATGGAGATCAAATCCATGGCCTTCGTAGACGATTCAGGTGCAGTAATCCTCCCAACAGCCCTGCAGTTGGCCATCCTCAGAAAGGATTTGCAGACCTGCACATACTCGGGGGCGCGGGTGAATTGGCACAAATCGAAGGCCATCTTCCACCGAAAGGTCGACCCGCCAAGAGGATGAGATATTCCCATAGTGGCAAAAGGGGAACGAATGACATTTCTGGGAGCAAACCTTATGCCAAGTTTTGGAGGGGTAGAGCAGATGGCAATACGGGCAACGATAGCGGCAGCCCGGCATGGAGCGCAAGAGGAAGCATGGGAGCCTTCGGCAAGGCCCTGATTATTAAGAACTCTGCGCTGTCCACGTTATGGTATGCTGCCGCCGTCCACCTATGGTCAAACAACGGGTATCTGGAGAACTCTATATGTAGGGTGGCCTGGAAAAAGCTTATCCAGCCAAGGCGGTTTGGGGGACTGGGCCTCTTGGACCACACAAGCAGATGATGGCCCTGCAGATGCGCCAGTTGCTCTGGCATCTGCTGGCGCATCTGCTGGCCATGGTGGACGGTGCCTGGCAAGAAGTTACCAGGACCCACCTGGCGTATGCACTTCAGTTGCCCAGAGAATTGGTGAACCTGTGCTTGCTTAGTAATATGACAATGGGTCATATCCGTAGGGACACAGTTTGGTCCAAATTGGCATTGTGGAAAAAAGCATGGCGAAGATGTCGACTACCAGAAACTGCAGATGGTGTCTTCAACCAGTTATTGTTTGACGACTGGTTTATTTGTGATGCGATTGGAGAACCCTTCCTGTGGCATGGCCCGCAAGGTGCATATGGGTGGAAGTGAGCGTAGCAAGGGATTTACAAGGTATGACATCCTTGGGACGAATACCGGAAGGATTGGCGTCCGGACGAGGAGCTGGCATGGACCAATGAGAAAGAGCTTAAGGGTTCGGGAATTGCGGGAGGCTATCCACCCCCAGTGGGCTGAGATATTAAGGAAAGATGAATCAACCAATTGGGAAATGGGTGAAGTTGAGGAGAGTCCGGAAACCAGACATAATTTACAGGGTGATAAGTTGGAAGTGATGAGATGGCTAGTAAACTTGGGCTATGAGGGCTTAGGGGAGCCCCTGCAGGAATGCAGCGCGCAGGAGCGAGGCCCCCGGAAAACAGTGGATAGAAGAACCATGATGGAAACACTGGCTGTGTGTGAAGTGGGCTGGAAGGAGAGGGGCCAATACCGGCCATTTCGGATAGCTGATCGGCGAAGGGAATTGATATGGCACCCAAGGGGAGTGGGAATGGCCAGCCCACAGAATGTAGAAGAAAGCAGTTCTGATCCAGAGCCTCACTACAAAAAAAAATTATAACTCCCTTTTGGAGACGATAGATATATGTGCAGATCTGAAGAACCGGTGGGTGAAGAGGGACTGGATTCCGGGCGTGTTTTTCAATAGATGGATCATAGATGGAATGAGCAAAATGCTATCCTGGTCGGCGACCGCTTTACCGGATCAGAAACAGGCAGGCTTGATATGGAATCCCCACAGCACAATGGCTGGCAGCCAGGAGCTGGCACAAGGAACAGATGTGCAAGGGGATGTGGGCAGGTGGGACCATTCCACACGTCTTCGTGCGATGCCTGGTTGTTCGGGCATTCTGGGAATGGTGGGTGCAGGAATTGGCAGATCAATCTCCATTGAATGTCACAGAAGAGGAGGATGCGGCCATACTCCTCGGAGACTTTATCAAAGTGGATAGATCGAGACTGGTAGATCTGGTGGCGGTGGAGACCATACATGCGGCGGTATTGTGGGCCTTGTGGACCCTGAGGAGTGAGCGGTGTCGACAGGGAACATCTCCACCGCTGCAGGCTTACAAGGAAAGAGCTTTGGAGAATGTTAGAACTGCTCTAATGGCTGACCTGCACCGAAGCAGGTGGGCAGGGGAACAAAAGGAGAGGATTTTGGGCTAGATGGGAACCGTACTCGCAGCTGCTCAGTCAGGATCTTCAGACGGGTCGTATGCTGTTTGGCTCACTGCTGATGAGCCATGCATCGGCAACTGACGCAGAGGAGGAATCTGACTGGATGGACTTTCATGAAAGCAGCTGATTTGTATTGTATTTAGACTAGGATTGGAAGTTAGGAGAACTAGGATTCCACTAGAGCATATGTACCATAAAAGTTTAGACTGGCGGTAGGTAGTGTCCATGAAAGGGGGTGGGCTTTGGGGGAAAAGCTAGAAATTTGAAAAGGCAAAAAACTTAGGAAAGATATACAAGAATAAAAGGAAAAATACAGGAGGTACGGATTAGGGATCAAGCTTGGTAGATGGAATAGAGGATGGTAAAGGAAATGCTAGGATACGCATTCGATAGATACAATGAAGAACATCCAAACGGCACAAGCTTGGCTTAGTTGGGGTAGGGGTGACAGTTGGTACGAATGCACTACATAGTGTGAGATGGTCAAGTAGGATGGACTGGGAGAAGGGGAAGACACTCTAGAAATAGCAGACTGCTATAGTTGGAAAGGAAAGGAAATTGATAAGGAGGTAGCTATGGGGTGGAGATGACTTTGGCATGGTAAGAAAGGACTGGCATGTGGACTGAAGGACTGCTCAGAACACCCCCCTCCGGTGCCATGCCCCCCTGGTGGCTGCTCTACTGCATGTCTGGGTGCTGCTAGTAAGCCTCCCGACCAGTAGCACAGCACCCGAGGACGGATTAAGGTTGGGGGATGGGCGCTCTGTAGCAGCTCCCCCTTGTTTAGGTGTTTAGCGCCGTAAGAGCTGGGCTGACCCACTCTTATCTTCTCTCTCATTTACATTTGTGTTCAACATGCTTGCTGGTGATAAGCAACCGGACTGATGCCCCCCAAAGAAGAAGGGAATTGTTTTTTTTTTTTTTTTTTTTTTAATTTTACTTTAAGAAGAAGATTGGGAGGCAGCCTTCAGGAAGTTGAAGAAGGCACGAATCAACCAGCTAGTCCTTATGATGATAGATCTGCACTTGCGTTCATTCTCACGACGCATGTGCTTATGATGACAGATTGGCACTTGCGTTCATTCTCACGACGGATGCTAGTCAGCATGGGGTATGGACGACTGCAGCCAAGCGATGGTGACATATATTTTTGTGTAGAGTTCATGTCAAAGGGATCATGTCTGAAAGTGTTGCAGCATTTACCTATGAGAGAGAGCCATATGCACTGTACGAGGCCCTAAGGAAGGTGGTGGCATTGGGCCACGTCACAACACTCGCCATAACCCAAAATTGGTGATGAGTTCTCATCACGATAAATATTAACTTAAAAAGCTTGCCAATTCTTGGCCTCACCGCAGTGCTCATGGAAAGGCCCTCAAGATTTGCAGGCAGGCGAACGACCCTCATTAACGAAGAAACCTGAGTTTCTCAAGTTATGATGGGCTGAGGAAATGATTGCCCACAAGCAAGTTTTGCAGGCTGGGTGGATGGTGCCTTTGGTGGGCACTCACCAAACCTGAGTTTCACAACTTCTGATGAGAATTTTGACATTGATGATGGTGAGGCAACCCACCACATACCAAAGAACGAGTTTGGTGAATGGTGTGTTGAGGCCCATTATTTCGTAGACAGATACTTGAAAGTCTGAATCTATTCACCAGACTCGAAAGAGGCTGAGGACTCAGTTGAAGCTGTCAGATAAGCTAGCCACGTGGTTGCATGTTATAGACACCTAGGACTCCAAGCTGAAGAATGTATAACGGTGTGGTCTTACTTTCCTTTTTTCGTTAGAAGTGTGGGCCCAGGTAATTCAGAATTGTTGTATGTCACTCATCTGGATTCGAACTGGGGTCTGTATTTCAACTGTTCATTGGAGTAGCAACTGAGCTAGGCCAGTCTGTATAGTAACTCTTTAACTATCGTTAGTGATGGGGACACCCAATTTACATGAGAGTAGTGGGAAGAGGCGATGGAGTTGTATGGTGCTAAGCTCACCATGTTGTCAGGTGGGCACCTTGCGGCACGAACGGTCACAGAACTGAGCAGATGAACAAACTCCTGCGGCAAACTTTGAGAATGTACATCAGACCACATGAGTATGATCTACTGTAGCTAGTGTCTACAAAAGTCCAGTGCACCTAACACCGGTAAGAATCCGAATGGGTTGGAGGCCATGATGGCCCGTAGTCTTCCTCAATCCTGACCAGGTTCATAAACTAGCACTAGGAGCTAGGAATTTTGCACTGATATATGAGAAAGATTTGGAGAAGAGATGCCTTTGGGAAGACGCAAAATGAACTGGACAAGGGTTGGAGGCCATGTGGACCCTTAGTCTTCCTCAATCCTGTCCAGTTTTAGAGACTAGCACGAGGGACTAGGAAGTTTGCTATATGAAAAATATTTGAGGAAGGTGAAAGAGGCGTGGTGCCCAGGAACAGATGGTAGAACAAGCCAACATGCACAGGAGACGGTTGCTGTTTGCTGTCCGAGGTTTAGTGTGTGTTAAGTCGAAAGAGTTCGCACCTGAGGGAGGAATCTTGCAGAAACTGCTCCTAATGACATAGGATTTGATGATGGGAAGTCCTAGATGGTGTTTGCTGTTTGCTGTTCGTGGTTTAATCTGGGTTACGTCGAAAGAGTTCGCACTTGAGGGAGGAATCTTGCAGAAACTGCTTCGGATGATGTAGCGTCTGATGATGGTGTAGCATCTGATGATGGGAAGCCCTAGATGGTGTAGCATCTGATGATGGACTATCATCCGTCATTGATGTACTTACTGCCTCATCTTTGAACATACACCATCTTTCTTGCTTCCAAGCAATTGCCACATGTCACCAGTAGTGAGTTTCCCTTGCAGATTGATTATACCACCTGCTATGGTTGGTGCATATGACATAGACAGGAACTGCAAGCATGTAACCTTCAGAACAGGCAATCGGAAGACAATATGTGACTCTCAAAGGAACGACGCCTTAGAAAGTGGCTGGATCTCAAAACCAGGCTGCTATTAGTTGTGGGAGCGCAAGGAAACCGGGCATGGTTTCAGTGGTGGATCTCAAAACTGGGTTACTGTTAGTAGTGGGAGGGCAAAGAAAATGCAGTCGCAGTAGGTTGGCATTACAGAGCCGGTAGGTTAATTCCCGGTACAGGGTAATAGCACAGCCTTCAACATGGGGTCTGCTAGACAAGTCCAGTCAATCCGGTCATAGGTAGAGTTGTTATAGCATAGTGTTTGATAGCCAGTTCAGTAATCCTGTCCCAGGTAAAGTCAGCAGCCCAGCATACCTAGTTCAGTATAGCATAGGGTTTAGTAGGCAAGTCTAGTCAATCCGGTCATAGGTAGAGGCAGTATAGCATAGGGTCTGATAGCCAGTTCAATCATCCGGTCCCAGGTAAAATCAGCAAACATTTCGGAAACGGCAAAAGCCGGCAAGTGAAAAAAGCTGGATCATCACATACAAAAGCTCGTCAGCTATTGTGGCATTCATGATTTCCTGTCGTGCTGGCTGTGGAAGTTCTGCTGCGCTCGAAGGTGACGAAGTGACGAATGAGAGAGTGAGAGAGGGACAGGATAGCTTGTAGTCAACAGGCACTCGATACCATAGCTGAACCTGTATCATAGATAGACGAGGGATGGCATTCACAGTGAGGGAGAGAGGCTTGAGGGTCGATGTGAGGGAGTTCATCTTCTTGTTGTGCTGGGGGCTAGTGGCCATCGTCGGCCAGCCAGTTGTACAGAAACTTGTTTGAACTTTGCAGGGACGGGAGCTACTGTGACGAATGTGTCCTCATGGGGCCGTAGACAACATGCACATGTTCTGGTCTGTGGCCCCCAACAAGCCTCGTGGCGGCCCTTCACTAAGGCGGGCCTGAATATCCACGAGAGGCCCTTATCTCGACATTTTCCAATGTGGGACTCAGAGAGTTGCTGCACGCCGGTTGTTTGAAGTGAAACTTGGGCCTCACCGTGGGCTCTTCCAGAAGAAGCAGCTGCGTCAGCCAGTTGAGCCCAGGACACAGGTGGGTGGTTGTGCCTTGGGCACACGCAGTGTGAGGCCGAGACATCACGAAGTGGCCACGGGCCAATGAGAATGCAGCATTGTTGTCACATCTGCCTCGTGGGCCAATGCAAACACAACACATTCGGAGCCTCGATAATCTTGGCTGTGCCCAACTGAAAAGGGCCTAGGCTCTCAACTGTAGACATGGGCCAGGGCGCGGATATTGGGGCCCGACAGGAAGCTAGTGGAAACTTCCACGGCCAGGCCTAGACAGTCCAATAGCAGCGGCAACTCCCATATAGGGGGCAGGCCAGCCAGTCTTGGGCATTCTGGCCTAGGCAGGCAATGCGGAAATGCTGCTACAATTCAGCACAAGTGTCTGCATTGCGCTAATGCTGGCTGGGGCGCGCGGGCACTGAGAGGTGAGGGGCGTTGCAGGGTAGCGGGGCGCCAAGTGGCCATAGATGGGCTGCAGGGGCGCGGGCAGGTGGAGGCGCAGGTGTGGGTCTTCAGGAAGGAGGCGCAGGTGTGGGTGGACAAGGGGTGATGAGGGGAGTTGAGAGAACGTACCGGGTGTATGTGGGAGGTCGACATTGGTTTTGACGTCATGTACATCGGTCTTCGGTGTTGAAGTGAGCCCGTTGCATGAACGTAGGTAGGCGAGGTAGGATGTAGAGTAGGCTGGGCGCTGGCGCCAGACACTAGGAGTGACATTGAATACTGCGTTGGTGTGGCTTGAGGGCTTGGGCATCGGCTCACGAGTTCACTGTATCACTCTTGGATGGAATCTTAATGCATTCGAACCCTCTACTTCTTACGTGACTATTTGGACTTCTGCGTGATTTTGCAACATGGTTTTTGTTTATCGCTTTCCCTCATATTCCTTGCAATTTGGTATCAGAGCTGGTTCGAGATTGCCGTCACCTGGTGCTGGCGACATTGTTACCTGG